TCAAAAAAGTGGTGAAGAGTCTGGGACCATGAAATATGAAAATAGTCTAAAAATAGCAGCTGCTGACCTGGAAAAGGTAAGTACAGTGGATCTGTGCAGGCTTTCGGGACTGAACCAGTGCCAAGTGGGTAAGGCACTAGATTTAATCCTTGGTGGCTTCAGCTTGCCATTCTCTGGTCCTCCCACAGTACTGCTCAGATGATTTTCAAGATAAATCTTAATATGTCACGCACTACTCTCCCATGAGTAAGCAGGCATGTAGTCAGGCTCCAGGACAATTAAGAGGGTCTGAGCAGCTGAGAAGGACCAGGTAGTTCCCAAATCCCCATCAGATGTCATTCTAGGGAGCTGCATGCCCTCGGGAGGAGCAGAGGGCCATCACCATCAATTACAATGAGCCTCGTGACAACAGATTACAGCTATTAAAGACCCTGAAACACACCATATTTTCTCTGCCACCTAAGTAAAGATCCCGAAACATGCCATGTTTTCTCTCCCACTTCTTTGCTTCTGTTACAATGTTTCCTTTCCCTGGGAGGTTGTGGTGTCACTAACTTCACATCATCCTACAGGATCTAAGTGAAGTCCCACCATGTCTGAAAGCTCTCCCTGAGGCTCACCTTCCAGGTTTCCCCAGAGGAGTTGCGTATCCCTTCCTCTATATTAAAATGTCACCTAGTACAAACCTTTTCTTTAGCAGGGAAACTCATTTTGTTACTTGTTAAATTAATTTTTATTGGAGTATAGTTGCTTTAGAATGTTGTGTTAGCTTCTGCTGTACCACAAAGTGAATCAGTTATACGTATGAAAAAAGTCAGAGTGTTAGTCATTCAATTGTGTCTGACTCTTTGTGATCCCATGGACTGTAGCCCGTCTGTAGCCCGTCTGTCACTCACTCAGATGACACTCATCTACACTCATCTGTCACCCATGAGCTCATGGGATTTCCCAGGCAGGAATATTGGAGTGGGTAGCCATTCCCTTCTCCAGGGGATCTTCCCAACCCAGGGACTGAAGCGAGGTCTCCAGCATTGCAGGCAGATTCTTTACCGTCTGAGCAACCAGGCAAGCTCCAGTTAACATATACATAACTTTCGCAGAAAATATTGAATTGCTTTGCCATCATGATTTACTTGATAGGAGGACCTATGAGCTTAACCTGGGACACATCTCTACATAAGGGGGCATTTATTTGTATAAACTGACATGCATAGAAGGAAAGGGCCTTCCTGGGAGGAGGAGGTCTTGAGCCTCGGAGCCTGGTGGCAGAGATGGAAGAAAGGTGGGGAAATCAAAACAATAACTTAGTGGCTGGCCCTCAGTTTGGGGACTCAGTTCTAAGCCTGATCCCATGGACTTGGTCCAAATCCTATAGAGAAAGAAGGGCTGCAGATAAAAGCTTTAAGAACTAAAAGACTTGTTTAAAAAAAAGAAAAATGAGGTACACACAGGACTGATTGAGGGCCAGGCAGCAAACTATAATACATGGTAGGGAAAGTGAACCTTCTTCCCACTCCTGCACTGATTACCCAGCCTTATCTGGATGTGGAAAGGCCACCGGTGCATGTGAGACAGTGCTGGGGAGCTGTGGTATAGCACTGGTGAGGAACCCAGTGAGGTCATGGGAATCTGGAGTGGGCCAGGAGTCCATCCAACAGGTTCCACTCTGCCATGTTTAGAAGAAGAGGACTTAGGGACACTTGAAGAAATGATGAGTGAGCAATGAAAATTTCAAGAAACCTTGGGGATTCCCAGAGCTACTTCAAGAGTGGCTTTTGCAAAGGGCTTGGGTTCTTATGCTACAAGGGAGAAATGACCAAGCAGTCAAGTCTAAATTATCACTGTTACTGTGACTTTACTTATAGCCATGGTCTGGAGGGCTGGTGAAATCTGGTTATGGTTATATTACATTCTTAACCTACTCCTACCCCCTTTATTGGCTTTGAGATCCATGAGGGCAGAGACTGATGATTTTAAAATAAATTCTCTGTAGTCCCATTACCTATTGGAGAATAGGTACTCGTGATATGTGTGTTGAATGAAATGATAAAATTAATGAAGGGATAACTATCTCCAAAGGATAAATAAGTCAAAGTCACAGAAATCTGATTCAACATAAAAGGGCTTTCTAACAATTAGAACTCCCTATCAGTGGAAAAAGCCCATCATGACACAGTGAGAATCTTTTCACTAGAAGAGTTATCAAGAATGTCCCAAAAGAGATACCCATGGAGAGAGATGGGTCAATCATTTCCAGCTCTCAAACTGCTTGGTATTAATTACACGGAGACCAAGAGGAGACTGGTCAAAACAAAACAGTTACCCACAGAAGACAAAAGGCAGAAATGATGGGTCAGCAACAGAACTGGTTTTTAAAAGTCTTCAAGGACTGTCTATAAAAATCAGCAAGCTTTAAATCGGAGAATTAAATTAATTTAAATTAAATTAAGTTATCAGAATTAAAATAGTGTCCTGAAACATTGTTGGATGAAGCCCTAGACATTACCTTCAAGAGCTATCCTATCATAACTCTGAACAATGTCCAGAGGACTAAGGTATCTAATGAACTTTAGCTATAGTGAAGATGTTAAGTGATGAAAGGTTAAAGAAAAGATTTACAACACGTTGAGAGCAGGCTGTGATTTGTAGACTCATAGCCTGTTTCAATGTCTCTTCCATGGCCACTGGCAAAGTAAATGCTAGAGCCACTTGTCTTTATTCCTTTAACTTTCAATAAATGACCAAAGGATCCCACATCCACCAGAGGACAATTACTACACAATGCAGGAAAGGTCTTCTGAGATAAATGGATAAATGGATATTCTACATAAAGGCCACAAATAGAATGATGGAGAATACTATCTCATAATGCCAAAGTTCAAAGGCACTTTTCAAATGCCTCTTTAAAGAAAATCTGACCTTTTTTTCTTTCTTTTTTTATTATCAGAAGTTTGCCAAGGGCAGTCTAGGCCTTGGGTCATTTCATTTTGACATAGAAGTACTCTCAGCAGTAAAAATAATGAAATACTTAACTCTGTAGTGACCATGAAGGCATATTTAGTATTTTTTTTAAGAACAATATTAAAGTATTAGAATTTCAAAGGAAATCTTTCCCCTTCACATATGAGAAAGAGAACCTGTATGAAGTGGTAATTAGCCAAAGGAGTAAGTATGAGTAGAACATTTACATTTCTATAAAATGTTACAGAAAAACCCAAACATTTTGGCCAACCCAATGTTTCATGCTACTTTGCATGAAATTTTTAGGAAAATGAATACATCACTAGTAACTTTATGTCTAAATCTTTGTTAGGTATAGATTAGCTGACATTAAATATGGATGTGAACATACATTTTCCTGAAAACAAAAACCTCTTACAGAAGGTCTTTTGCTTCCCATTTTAAGGTATAATTTATAAACAGTAAAATTTATGCTTTTTAAGTGCATAGTACTGCAAGTTTTTGCAAATGCAGCTATATAACTGCCACCACAAGCAAGACATAGAATGGTTCCTTCACAACCCCAAATTTCCCTGTACCCCCTCGCAGTAAACCCTTGTCTCTACCTCAATATCCTGGCAACTACTGACCTGCTTTCTGCTCCTATAATTCTGCTTTTTCAAGAATTCTCTACAGGCACTTCCCTGGCAGTCCAGTAGTTAAGACACCATGCTTCTACCTATAGGGCATGGGTTTGATCCCTTGTAGGTCAGGAAACCTACATGCCTTGAGATCCTGCATGCCTTGAGATGTGGCCAAAAACAGGAAAAAAAGAATATAAATGGAATTATAAATGGACTATTTTATTAAATTTCATACATTTGATAAAAGTGAAGCAGCTGAAGTGCCCATTTTAATGTACTGATTTCTATATTCTGAATTAAATGCAATAATAGATATATAAAATCAAATTACCCATAACAATTACATCTTGAAACAGGTATTACCCAGGGAGCCTTTTGAATATGTAAATGGATCTTTAGGGATTCACTTTCAGCATATCGAATCAAAATTGTTCATGTGGGTCCTGAAATTTTAGTTTTTATTCAATTCTCCAGGTTTGATTCTGATTGATCCAGCCAGATTTGGGCAACATTAATCCAGCAGACATTCACTCTATATAGACCATGTGTGGCAGTGGGATCAAAATTCAGAGGTTGAGAGGGTCTTGGATGATCTTGTTCTGAGGTATAACTACCGTTCACTGGCTGCAGGACCTTGAACAAGCCATCTAAATGCACTGAACCTTGGTTTTCTCCTCTGTCATGCATGAGGAATAATACCTACTTCATCGAGTTGTTTGGCAGGATTCAATGTTTATAAAGTATTTAGCTAGTACCTGGCACACTCAGCACCGAATGAATGGAAATAGCTTATCTAGCTGATATTACCATCACTGGTATTGTCATCATTATCATTATTATGCTTTATTTGTCTTTGTCCATATTTTTGCATTTTGGTCAATTTCACTATTTTTTTTTTCTTTTTAAGCACTTCTAGAGCTGACCAAAATAAAAAGAATCAATATTTTTTGTAGCAGCTAAACTATTATTGAGGGTAATGCAAAGCTAACAGAAAGCTCACTGATTGTCCCTAACCCTTACTTTTACCCTGCTAGAGCCTCAAAGATACCAACGGGGACAAAACATGAAGTACTGGAAGCTCTTACTCTTTTCCCCGGGGTTAATGGTCAAACACAAGCAAACAAAAGGGAGAAAGATAAACAAAGGATCTAAATAAAACAAACAAAAAAAATTTATCTATGTAGTTAGGGAAAATCTAAAATTGACTTTATTCATTAGCAGTTTTAGATATATATATACATGTATTTTTTATGTGTAGCTTTTATTTAAACTCTGAAATACAGAGAAGTGGTGATACTTGGCTTCACCTGCTGATCTGAAGAAAGAACAACTCCTGTCCTCAGAAATTATGCAGTGCTGTCAACACCAAGGATCGAAGATGAGGATTAAAGACAAAACTGAAACTCACGCGCCTACCTGTTCTCAGCATCAGCACTGCACTTTGGGGACATCAGTTCGAAGGATTTGGTAAACTTCACCACCTGCCGCACAGAAAGACAATTAATCCCAGTCAATCAAAGCTTTCTCACAGTTTAAAATAATCCAATAAACACTTTTCATCTCTATAATGACTATTACAATAATTGGAGATTAAAGACAGATTTTAAGTGGAGAAATCCTGAGGGACAAGAGAAAATTCTATCCTACATTTGGTAACATTTCTTACATGGCACATATTGCTAAAGTCTAAATATACTTCTAAATGTGCATATATTAGTATATATACAATAAGGTGTAAAAATCCTGTGGTGGTCAGGCAAAGGGACATCTTGTTTGAAATAATTTTTTTCCTGCCCTTTTAGCAACCCAGTTCACCATCCATGGAGAACCTGGTAGAGACAAAATATCCTTCAAAGGGTTGCCCTCCATCAACTCCAGGCTCCTAAAGTTACCGTCCCTGGTTGTTCTCCGGTGAATTTTATTTTGCCACCTGCAAAAGGTAACTTTAAAAAAGACACTTTCTTCAAAGATCATCCCTAGTGTGGATACTTCCTCCCTTCTCTGTCTAGTGAAACTGGCATGATTGGTGCAAGAGCTTAATTAAGACCTATTACACTGACAGGGAATTTATGAGCACAGAAAAGGCAGAGGCAGTGTTTCTTATTAGCCACTACTGAGTCTTTCCTATAAACCAGGCCCTACATCAGAAAGTTCTTTAATTACTTAATTTCCCTATTACAAACTCATCATTAGCTATTATTAAGTCCTTCCTATAAACTAGGCCCTACATCAGAAGATTCTCTGATTATTTAATTTCCCTGTTACAACTCTATAAAATGGGGATTTTTACCTTCAGTATATAGATGAGGAAACTAACCTATAATTTTTAAGAAACTTGCACTGCTTCACACAACTAAATGAGGCAACTGGGATTAAAGCAGGTCTGTATGCCTCTAGAGTGCCAGGTTTTTTCAACAACACTGAAAATATGGAGTGGGAAAGGCACGATTCCTGGCCCTCTTTTGACAAGATAGACCACGTGACAGAAAAAGAGTCCCTGTACTGAAAGGAGTCATCTGAATGTCACTGGATGCTTCCAAGGCTGACATTTAGATTTGCCTTAGCCAGATGCAGTCATGCTTCAAAGGCCATTTAAATTAACCACTTATAAGGAATTGATGGGCACTTGAGAAAATGATTTTGGAACTGGGAATAGATTAAATATTAAAACAGCTTTATCAGTGAGGTAATGAACCCAAACTAAGAAAATGTAACATTAGGAAAAAGATGAAAGAAAAGCCCATCACAAAGAAATTGCGTGTGGCTAGCTAAATGCAGGACAGTGACAATAGCTCAACTAAAAGGAAATACCTTTCACAACTACAGGACATATTTCATTGCATATGCTAATGTGAAATAAGCCTCTACAAAATCACTCATTGTGGCAAATTTCATTTTCCAAGATGACCACAGCAATCTCTCCTATTCCACATTCTTCCACCCTCCTACCAAGTGGTAGGGTCTATGCTTCCTCCCTTGAGTCCAGGTGGGCTTCAGACCACTACAACAAATAGAATATATAGAAGAGATATCAAATGTGCCTTCTGAGGTTGCAATAAAAGCCACTGTAGCTTCTGTGTCATCTGCATGGAATACTTGTGCCTAGAGTCCTGAGACACCATGTAAGAGGCCCAACTACTCTCAGGACACTACGCTTAAAGGGAGGCAACCATACAGAGGAGTCACATGTAGATGCTCTGGTCAGCAGCTCCAGTTTTTAAGCCCTTCCAGCCCAGGTGCCAGACATATAAGCAAACAAACCTTCAGATGATTCTAGTTCCCAGCCATTAAATTACCCATGATCTCCAAATTTTTCTAAGTGTGGTCCCAGATATCCTAGAAAGAGGGAAACCATCCTGGCTATTCCCTCTCCAAATGTATAAGATCTGTAGCCATAAACAATTTGGAGCTTATTTATTACACAGCAAAAACTACTAGGGAAGAGTAGAAGGCAATCACTAATAGCTCTAGAAAGAATTAAGCAGCAGGGCTAAAGTGGAAACAACACTCAATTGTGGGTGTATCTTGTGGTGAAAGTCAAGTCCAGTGCTGTAAAGAACAATACTGCATAGGAACCTGGAATGTTAGGTCCATGAATCAAGGCAAGTTGTTCGTGGTCAAGCAGGAGATGGCAAGCGTGAACACTGACATCTTAGGAAACAGTGAACTAAAATGGACGGGAATGGGCAAATTTAACTCAGATGACTGTTAAATCTACTACTGTGGGCAAGAATCCCTTAGAATAAACAGAGTAGCCCTCATAGTCAACAAGAGTCCAAAATGCAGAACTTGGGTGTAATCTCAAAAACGACAGTATGATCTCAGTTTGTTTCTAAGGCAAGCCATTCAACATCACAGTAATCCAAGTGTATGCCCCAACCACTAATGCTGAAGAAGCTGAAGCTGATCAGTTTTATGAAGACCTACAACACTTTCTAGAACTAACAACAAAACAAAAGATGTCCTTTTTATCATAGGGGATTGGGATGCAAAAGTAGGAAGCCAAGAGCTATCTGGAGAAACAGGCAAATCTGGCCTTGGAGTACAAAATGAAGCAGCGCAAAGCCTAACAGAGATCTGCTAAGAGACCACAGTGGTCATAGGAAGCAGCTTTTTCCAACAATACTTGGATGACTCTACACATGGACCTCACCAAATGATCAATACCTAAAACAGAGTAATCACATTCATTGCAGAGGAAAGTGGAGACGCTCTATACAGTCAGCAAAAGTAATACCAGGAGCTGACTGTGGTTCAGATCATCAGTTCCTTGTTACAAAATTCAGGCTTAAATTGAAGAAAGTAGGGAAAGCCACTAGGCCATTCAGGTATAACCTAAATCAAATTCCTTATGATTATACAGTGGAGGTGATGAACAGATTCAAGGGATTAGATCTGGTAGGCAGAGTGTCTGAAGAACTATGAATGGAGGTTTGTGACACTGTACAGGAGGCAGTGACCAAAACAATTCCAAAGAAAAAGAAATATAAGAAGGCAAAGTGGTTGTCTGAGGAGGCTTTACAAATAGCTGAGGAAAGAAGAGAAGTGAAAGGCAAGGGATAAAGAGAAAGATATATCCAACTGAATGCAGAATTGCAGAGAGAGCAAGGAGAGATAAGAAAGCCTTCTTAAGTGAAAAATGCAAAGAAATAGAGAAAAATAACAGAATAGGAAAGACTAGAAATCTCTTCAGGAAAGTTGGAAATACCAAGGATGGTACAAGAATTGTGCAAGGATGGGCATAATAAAGGACAGAAAGAGTAATGACTTAACAGAAGCAGAAGAGATTAGGTAGAAGTGGCAAGAATCGTTCACTTAAAAAGGCTTTCTTATCTCTCCTTGCTCTCTCTGCAATTCTGCATTCAGTTGGGTATATCTTTCCCTTTCTCCCTTACCTTTCATTTCTCTTTTTTTCTCAGCTATTTGTAAAGCCTCCTCAATCACTATGCCTTCTCACATTTCTCTTTGGGATGGTTTTGCCTCCTGTACAGTGTCACGAATCTCCATCCATAGTTCTTCAGGCACTCTATCAGATCTAATCCCTTGAATCTATTTATTACTTTCACTCTGTAATCATAACAGATTTGATTTAGGTCATACCTGAACTTTACTTGGATTAATTTTTACTACTGATTAGAATACTTTACAATTCTGAAAGGATAGAGGTTAATTTCTGAAAAACTGATATCAACTGGATTGTAAATGGCGGGGGGGGGGGGTAAGTCCCCTTTGTGGGGTCTTTGAGGCTCACTCTAAACATGGCTACAGAAATTACACTCAGAAAGGCATGTGAAACTAAATGATTTATCATACAGGTCCTGGAGAGGAGGGCATAGCATGTCCAAAAGACCACAGAAAGCCACCCAAAGCTCAAAGTTTGGTCACTACAGGTCACAAAAGGAAGAGGGCAGACCAAGGACCCCTGGGTAAGGTCCTTTATTGAGGGTCATACGGAGGGTAACTTGTAGCACTCAGGAAGCTTGCCCCTTGTAATCTGAATGTGACTGGTCTACACGGAAAGGAGATAAGGAGTAAACACAGGGAAATCATCATGAGGCTTGTGGTCTGAACACATATGCTGAGGATGGGTACCCAGTAATAATTGGGCAATAACTGAACAGAAGTTCAAAACAAGGAGGGTGAATGCTGTCACTCAGGAAGTCACTGGGGCAAGAAAGAATAGCTTGACATTATGAAAATGATGTCCTGTAGCAATGCAAATGAATTTTATTCAAGTAGAAATGGGAATGGCTTCTGCGCAGAAGAAAAGATAAGCCCATAATTTAAAATTTTATTGTCCTGGAAGACAGTGAAAGTGTTAGTTATGTCCGACTCTTTGCAACCCTATGGACTGTAGTCTGCCAGGCTCCTCTATCCATGGGATTCTTCAGGCAAGAATACTGGAGAGTGGATAACCATTCCCTCCTCCAGGGGATCTTCCTGATCTAGGAATTGAACTCTGGTCTCCCGCATTACAGGCAGATTCTTTACCATCTGAACCACCAGGGAAGCCCTGGAAGATACAGGTGGTAAAGAACCTGCCTGCCAATACAGGAGAAGTAATAGATGTGGTTGATCCCTGGATCAGGAAAATCCCCCGGAGGAGGGTCTAGCAACCTACCCCAGTATTCTTGCCTGGAGAATCCCATGGACAGAGGAGGAGCCTGGCAGGCTACAGTCCATCAGGTCACAAACAGTCAGACACGACTGAAGCAACTTAGTAAGCAACCACACACAGCAATCTTGTGCCTGCATTCTTTCAGTGCCTATTTTAGAACTGACCACTATCTTGTTGACTTCTCTCATTAGTGAGTTAACTACATCTTTGATACATGCTTATTTTAGCTTTTTGCAAGGATTAGGTTTTCAACTTTTTGAAAACTGTTATTTGACACAACAAATATGTACTGAGTGCATTTGTCAAGTAGTGAAATAGGCACCAGGGCTACACATGTGAAAGTAAAAAAAAATTCCTGCATGC